ATTACTTTTATTTATTACATTTTTTTGATCATATTTTCATATATATAAAGCTATCATTTCTACTTATAATTCCCATTTGAGGAATTGATTGTAAAACTCGTGAAGTCAATAAAAAGAGAAAGTTTCGTATATATGTGGGAATGGAATAAGTGTGGCTCTGGGAAATGTGGAGTGTGTCTGGACTTAGAATAAAAGTGACCATGTGCGCAAAGATCGACTACAAGGATTATTTATGGTAGAGTCGAGCGAAAGTTTAAGGATGCGTGCAGAGTAGTTGAAGTGCCTGGCCCACCGAGGTTGCGTGAGAAAAGAGCATGACTGGGGAAGAAAGCCAGGGTATGAATGAGGAGGATGAACGGTTTAAATAAGGGTGCAAGGGCGCGGGCGAGGACAGTCCTTCACGGCCTTCAAGATAGCGTCTAACAAGTAAAAGTCGAGCGTACCCGTAGCGAGTCTTTAGTTTCGTAGCCGATAATATAAGCATAAGTTTATTGTATTTTAAGAAGCAGTAAAGCAACGTTACTTTAGTCAATCCACACACCCCGATCCTACATACATCTTTTAAAATTGCGAAAGAAAACATATGCAACTCTAAAAGTAAAAGTAAAGAGTATCACGATAAGAAGATTAATGCAATAAAATTTAAGATAAATGATCTTGTCTGTATATATCAAAAACAAGTAAAAACGGGACTAAGTAAAAAATTAGCACCTAATTCCAAAGGAACTTTCAAAATTACTCAAGTCTATCCTAATAATAATTTATGTTTGTGTGTTTCCTATTGAGGTTTCGGTTGTATTAATTACGGGTTGCCCGTCGATGTCCCGCCTGTTCAGACAATTGTCACCAATGGTCTGGCTCGCTGTCAAGCCTAGCATCGGTTCTTTTTCCCAGGCCTTTTTTATATGTTCCCTCCAATGGGTTTCCATTTTAGTCGCCTCTTACGACAAGCAGGGAATACTGTTGGGGTATTCTGTTCCGCCCACAGCACGGGGTTTATTATTATTATTATTTCCATTATTTAGTTCCATTATCTTTACCATCAAAATACGGTGGAATATCAAAAACGTGCACGATGCTGTTATTGCATGGGCAGTAACAACAAATATATTACTACATATACAATGAGTCACAAAATTATTGGCACACGCGGAAATTGGTAAGAATATGAAGGGTAAAAGAAATAATCAAATATTTCTTAATCCTCTTTTGTTTACAAAATAATGTTTAGACTATAAACTCTCAACATTATGAATAAATCAAACATTATCAATCCAACATTATAAATAAACATAATGAATAAAGAGAACATTATGAATAAATGAATAAATGATTAAATTAATTTCACAATTTGTAGTTATAAACAGTGAAACGAAATGATTCCATGTACCAATTGTTATCAAATAATTATTGGCATACTTAACATATTTTGCGAAAAACTATTGTATCAGCCTATTCAGATATTCTGTTCTTTTCTTCGCTGTTATTCAAGCTCAGTATAAGATATTATAATAGTCAGTTAACAGCCAAGTGAAGAATTAAAATCTAATAACTCTTTCGCAACGGCAGGTCTCGTCGCGAAATCACTCCCATAGAACGTAGCGACGTGAAAAAAAGAAAAGAAAAATCGACTATCGTAATAACGCTTGTAATTTTTTGCAAAGGGAACTAAGCGAAACGATAGCACTTATCTTAATTCTTGTGGTCGGTGACTATAACCACCCGTAGTAGCGAAAGGGATAAAAGAAATATTCGAATGCACATTCTACTATGGCGAGAAAAGCTAAAGAAACTAACTTAAATATAAGAAATTTAGTAACTCATCACTGGAAAACTGAAAAATCATATAGAGGAATTGGAAATATCATAAACAAAAGTTTTTCAACCGCCAAAAATATTATTAATTAAGGGTTTGGAGATGAAGGTAGAATTGAAGACAGACCTGAACATGGAAGGAAAAATATTTTAAATTTATCAGAAGAACATTTTATTGTTCAAAATGTGAAACAAAATCCAAGAATAAATGCCCCACAAATTAACACCGAGCTCCAGCCTTTGAATAATAAAACTGTTTCTAACGAAACAGACCGTTGAATGTTGCGGAAGAATTCATACAATGGACGAACAACCACAAGGAAACCATACGTTACTGCTGTAAATAGGAAAAAAAAAAGTTTGGATTTTGCAAGAACAATTATTTCAAGATCTAGAGAATTTTGGAGAGATGTTACCATTTTGTGCCAAGATTAAAGTCAATATTTTGGGGTCTGGTGGTCACAAAATTATAGCGAAAACCGAACAAAGAAATGGATCCCAAAATTATTCAAATACGGTAGAGTCATATTATGATTTGGGAATGTACTGGGTAGGACCTTTAAAATTTATAACAGAAAAAATAGATAAAATGGGAAACTTCAGTATGCTAAAGAATAATTTCAAGCAAAATGTTCAAAAAATTGGGAATTCTTGAAAGATTCAAATTAGATCAAGATAATGACTCGAAACACAAATCGGAAATTATTCAAGAGTGGTTATTATACCACTGTCCAAAGATTATAAATACGATACTACACAAATACAATAAATACACCTGATCTAAATTCCACTGAGACGGTAAGGGATAAATTAGATAAAAAAATACGAAAGTATTCAATAACTAATAAAACGGAATTAGAAAGTAAATAACAAGAGGAATAGCATAATATAGAGGAAGAATATTAAAAAAAAACTTGTAAAATCAATGCCACACTTTCCGACGTGATAAAACAAAAAGGATACCCTACAAAATATTAACATTGCTAAATTATTAATTTTTGGTACGTGACCCAATAATTTTGTGGGCGCAACTGATGCGTGGAATCGTTCCATTTCATTTTGTTTATAACTACAAGGAATAACATAATTTGTTTCCCATAGTATTGTGCGTTTATCGTCTAAACCTTATATATCTCAAATAAAAGAAATTATATATTACATTACATATTTATAATTCTTTCTCTTTTTTAGTAAATTAATATATTAATATATAATTATATAACAATTTAATTTAATTATTTATAAATAATAATTATTTAAATAAAATTATTTATTATTATTTTATTTTAAATTATATGTATATTAAAATTAAAACAAAAATGAATAAAATCTAATTAATTAAATAATATTTATTTTATTATAAATAAATAATAAAAAAGAAAATTAATAATATATAATTAAATATAGTCACAAATGTATAAATATAGTCACAATAATTATCCATATAAATTTTTTATTTAATATATATGAAAAAATAGTCACAAAGAAATAAATATAGGCACAATAAACATCTTTAATTCCTTTAAATTATTCATTTATTAATAAATCGACGGGAACAAATATATATACATATATATATTCATATAATCAATAATTTTATATAATAAATGATACACAAAATAATAATAATAATTTAATTTACAAAATAAAAAAATTATATATTAATCATTTAATCTATAAAATAAAAAATTTATTATATATTAATAATAATAATAAAATAAATTTTATATTAATATTTAAAATCAAAAGATTAAAATATTTTTATAAAAATTAAAAAAATGAAAATTACTAACTTGATAATAATTATTGAAAAAATTTGTTTATATTTAATAATATGTTGATTTTATTAAATTATTGTAGAGATAGGTTGGAACACGAATAATATAAAACTATTTATTAACTATAAAATATAACATACAACGCGCGGTGACGGTAAAGACTACGAATATAATCTATCTAATAACTAAACTCTTATAACTACAACGACACAATTATACCTAACAACACGTTTACACTTAGCAACACGAATACAACTAACCACACCTTTTCTCACAACTCTCTGTACGAACTCTAATATACTACACGTGCTACGACAGACTACCCACTCTCGCCCTTGCATCCCTATTTAAAACCATACATTCTATCCTCTTTCATACCTATTCTCTCTTTCCATTCACACTTTCCCACGCACTCCTCGCAATCTTACCCTCAGCGGGTCACTTAGCCCAAACACTCAAACGCATTCCTAAAGCCATTCGATACATTCATAAACATCCCGTTCACACGATCCTAGCCCACGATCATTCATCCTTTCGCACGCACTCTAGATAACACGCTCATCCTGCGATACCACATTATTATAGCTTATTAATTAATATTTTAATAATTTAATTTTATTTATATAATTCATAATATAGAAAAATTTATTTCTATGGCTTTATAATATAAAAAATTTATATAAATATCGTGATGAGCTAATTATTTTACATAAATAAGGAGAAAAAATCCTACTAAATTGCAACAGCTATTTTAATTCAATAGGAATTTAATGAAAAATTGAATTTTATTGACATTTTCGACTAATATCGTGGTGAGCTAATTTTTTTACATAAATGAGGAGAAAAATTCCTGTTGAATTGCTATAGCCATTTCGATTCAATACGATTTGGCTGAAAAATATATAAATAAGCTAAATTAAGCTGGTAGATTCATAAGCTATTGATATATTTTTTAATATTTTGTGATATAAAATTATTAAAATTCTATAGGTTTTATAATCCAGTGAATAGATCTGATCATTGATTGTATTACTGTATAGATGGCTATATATACTACTGCAATTGGATCTAAATCGATAGTTGATCTATTCAGTAGGCTATAAAATTCTATAGGTTTATAATCTAATGAATAGATTTTTTTAAAAATATAAAACATAATTAAGGACTCGGTTTAGGTTGGTGAAAGCGTGTGCATGTGTGAGAGAGTGTGGGAGAGAAATTGTAATAATTGAGAATTTCTGTGATCATAACGGCGAAAGAAGGTGAGGAAAAAACGCGGAAACATTAACAGATGATTTGAGAAAATAGGACAAAGGGTAGGAAATAAGTATAAGAGCATTTAGAGATATAAGTTAGACGGTAAGGAGTAGAGGTTAGGATTTCTACAGGTATATAGTAGAGGGAACCATGAACTCGGCCGATAAGTCAGGTATCTTAGAAGGAGGTGTGAATGAAAAAGGAAAACCTCCAAAGGCAATAAGCATAAGTAAAAAAACAAGAAAAAGGAAGCAGGGATATGGGAATGTTACTAAGAGAGGCGAAACGAAAGAAGGATGAGGAAAAACAGGAAATGGTAGAGGTATATATAGAATTGAGACCTGGATCCAGAAGATGACCATAATAACTACGAAGAAAAAGAACAACGGAAAGATATAATAAGTGAACTGATGAAAGCAGTCAAGGAACTGATAAAGGAAAACAGAACAATGTGGGATGAGATAAAAGAATTAAAGAAAGAATTATTTGAACGAGACAAAGAAGAAATATCTGAAATAAAAGAGGATATACATAGATTGGAGAAAAAGGCTAAGAAAGAAAGGGAAGAACGGAGGAAAGAAAGGGAAAGCCTAAAAACACACCTAAAAGACGAAGTAAGGAAGGAGTGTTCGAAAATAATGGCTGAAATAGGAAACAAGAACGAAAAGAGGAAAGGAGAAAGTGACGACAAAGATATGAGACTCCTAAAGGAATACGTACAGAGGCAAGCGAAATGGGAGAAGAAAACTAATATCATAGTAAAAGGATTAGCATTAAAGGAACAGGATACCAAAAGGGAGATGGAACAATTTATACGAGAGAAAGTACAAGTCAAGTACGAGTTACTCTGGGCGAAGAAGATAGGGAAAGGAGAGAAAGGACTAATAGTAGCAAAAGTGGACACCTAGGAGAATAAGCAAAACATCATGAGAAACCAAAAGAAATTAGGCAGAGAAAGTATTTATATAGAGCAAGATCTCACCTACATGGAAAGGGAAGTACAAAGGAAGATTGCAGCAGAAGTGAGGAGGATTAGAATGGAAGGAAGAACGGCGAAGGTAGGATATCAAAAGATCTGCGAAGAAGGAGAGTGGATAAAGTGGGAAGACTGGATCCGAAAGAACAAGAAGGATTTTTAAAGGAACCAGGGAATGAGGGAAGACGAAAAAAGAAACATGTAAAATGTATAGTATGGAATATAGCAGGAATAAAAGGAAAGCCGAAAGAGGTATGGGAAGACCTATCTCAATACGATGTAATAGGTTTAGTAGAAACATGGATAGAAGAAAGAGAATGGACGAAAGAGGACACTACCGAAAGGATATAATTGGCACTGTCAACCAGCCAGCAGAAGAGACAAAAAGGGAAGAGCAAGTGGAGGCATAATCACGGGAATAAAACAAGAAATGGAAAGAAACACACAAAACAATAGAGATTCCCCGTATGGTAGAAAGGAAAGTTAAGATAGGACAGGAAGAATGGATTTGTAAAACAGTATATAGGAAGCTGGGATTAGACGAAGTGAACAATTACTTGCAACGATTGGAAGAAGATCCGGGATGTGATACAAATTTGGTTGTAATCGGTGACTTCGATGCAAGGATAGGAAGAAAGGGAGAAAGGGTGGAATGGGAAGGGAACTTGAAATGTGAAAAGAAATCGAAAGATGATATTATAAATGAAGGTGGTAAGAAATTATGGAAAGTGGTGAAGGAGAACGGATGGCACATACTGAATGGAAACACACCAGGGGATGAAGAAGGCGAGTTTACATTCATCGGAGGCAGAGGAGCCACGGTAATCGACTATGCCTTCACGAACACCCAAGCATGGAATAAAATCAAAGACTTCAAAATAGGAAATAGAACGGAATCCGACCATCTACCACTTAGAAGAGCCAGCAAAAGAAAGGGGGAAGGAGAGGAGGAGAATCACAATGTGGAATACGGAAGCAATAGAACAATATAGAAGGAGGACAGAAAAAGTGAAGCTAGAAAAAAATGGAATAAATGAAATGTGGGAGGAACTGAAGAAAGCGGTAGATAGTTGCATGACAAAGAAGGAAGTGCGAAAACAGAGGAGAAGGAATGATTTAACATGGTTTGATCTAGAATGTATAAGAAGTAAAAGAAAGATTAACAGAATGTATAAAAGGTTCAGAGCAGGGAAAACAAACAGAGGAAGCTATATAAGAAGTAGAGAGTGCCATAGAGAATTATGCAAAAAGAAAAGGTTAGAGGTAGAGGAAAAATTAACGGCAGAAGTAAAGGCAATAAGATCGGACACGGAAACATGGAAAGTAATAAATAAGTACAGGAAAAAAAGGATAAGGATAGGGAACGATATACCAATAGGAAGATGGAAAACATTTTATGGACTTACTAGGTGGCTCGGAACAAAGAAAAACTGCAATGAGAAAAAGACACGTTAAAAAGGATACAGAACAGGAACTAACAGTGGAAGAAATAGTCGAGCAAATACAAAACCTAAAAACACAGAAAGCCACAGGAGAAGATCAGATCCCAAACGAAGCATGGATGTATAGTAGGGGAATAGTTAGAGAAAAATTAATAGAGATACTACAAAAAATTTGGAAAAGAGAAGGTATTCCAAGGGGCTGGGAAAAGGGAATAATATATCCGCTATATAAAAAAGGAGACACGGAGGTAACTTTGAATTAGAGAGGAATCACGCTACTGAATTCGGTTACAAAATCTATGCCGCAATTCTAAACAAAAGACTGACGGACGAAATTGAGAGTAAGGAAATGCTCCCAGATATACAAACTGGCTTCAGAAAAAAACAGGAGCGCAATAGATAACATATATACCCTCCAGCACATCGTAGAAAAGGAGAGATTAAAAAAAGGCGGCGAAATATACACCTTCTTCATGGACCTCAAGGCAGCATTCGATTCAGTAAATAGGGAAAAGCTGTGGCACGACATGGAAAAAAGAGGAGTAAGAAAAGGATTGATAGAAAGAATAGTGGAGATATACGAGGAAGTAAGAGTGGTGGTATGAAGGTAGTGAAACGCCACATAAAGGAAAAGAAATTAATATTGAGCTGCGAAAAATCGAAGGTAATGGTATTTAAGGAAGGCAGAGGAAGGAAAAAGGAAAGAAAATGGTGCTTAAAAATAATTTTAAAAAATAAATATTAATCGTAATAATCCATAACTGCCTAATTTTCATATAATTGAAGCTAAAATTATTGATCCATAATAGGGAGCTTCAACATATGCTTTTCATAATCATGGATGAATTAAATATGTGTAGGGATCGGTTTGATTGAATTGGCTAAAGTAGCCCTGTTTACTTCACAATCGAATAAAATAATCTTATACGTAGGCTGATGGCTATGAAACAAGAGGGATTCGCTATGGGCACGTTCGACTTTGACTTCTTATTCATATACTGACACACTATTAGCAACTTCCTCAAGACTCTTGGAGACCGTGAAGGACTGGAGCTGTCCGCGCCCTTGCATCCTTATTAAAAGCATTCGCTCTGTCCTTTCCATACCCAGGCTTTTCTTTCCAATCATGCCCCTTTCCGGCGCAACCTCGGTGGGCCAGGTACTTCAACCACTCTGCACGCATCCCTGAACTTTCACTCTACTATAAACATTCGTTGCAGTCGATCCTCGCGCGCGTGGTCACATTCATTCTAAGCCCAGAGACACTTGACATTCTTTCAGGGCCGTCCTTATTCCAATCCCACATAAATATAATATAAATAATATTTGAAAATAATTTACTAATAACCGTAATTTATTTCCTTTATTTAAATTTATAAAAATTCTAGATAAAATTCATAAAGTTAAAATTAATAAATTAAATAAATAAAATCTTAAACTAAAATTTAATAAACAAAATCTTCAATCTAATCAATTAATTTTAAATAAAAATAAAAAGGTTAATAAAAATAATTAATTTGAATTTAAATATAAATTAAAATTTAATATAATAATCATAATAAACAAAATTATTAATTCTCCTAACATTGTTTTAGTAAATTAATTAAATGAATTTTTTGAAGTCCATATAAATAATTTATTCTAATTATTAAAGATAATCCTAAAATAGCTTCGCCAACTGAATAAATTAAATATACTAAAAAAATTAATCCATTATTATTTATAATAATCATATTTATTAAAATTGTTAAAGAAATAAATTCAATTAAAAGTAAAAAAATTAATAAATAATTATTATAACCAAATAATAAAATAAATTTACATATAAAAATAATAAAAATTTCTAAAATTAAATAATTAAATTTTTAGCTTTATAGTTTAAATCTAAAATATTAATATTGTAAATTAAATTTATTAAAGTTAATAATTAAAGCTAAAATTAAAATTTAATTAAATTCAAAGAATTTAAATATAAATTTTTATAGTATCCAAAGCTATTGTATTAAAATAAACTATTTTTTGCAATTATAAATTTTAATTTCATTGAAATAAAATTAATTATTAATACAATTTATATAATAAATATAATTTCATATTATATTTAATTTTAAATTTAATTTTTGATCTTACAATAATAAGTTCTCCAATAAAATATTTATTATATTCTTTAATTTATTCAATTACCTTATTTTTTTCAATATTTAATTTTAATCCTAATTATTCAATAATTCTTAAATTATTAATGTCTTTAATTGTATATATTTCAGGAATTACAATTATATTTTCTTACTTTATTACTTTAATGAATTTTTTAAAACTAAAATCTAATAAATTAAATTTATTATTAAATATATTCATTTTAATTTATTTATTTATTATAATTTATATAAAAATTATTTAATAAGATATTTTTTTAAATATGAATGTAATAATGAATTATTATTATTATATTTATATTTTTATTATTTTATATATATCATTAAAATTTGTTCAATAAAAAAAAAGATTACGTAAAATTAATGAATGAAAAATTATAAAAATTTAAAATCAATTTTTAGATTTATTTATTTGCCAACACCAATAGATATTAATTACTTTTGAAGTTTTGGTTCTATCTTAGGATTATTTTTATTAATTCAAATTATTCAGGATTTTTATTATCAGCATATTATTGTGCAAATATTAATTTAGCATTTCAAAGAATTTCACATATTACAGAAGATGTTAATTCAAGTTGAATTATTCGATTAATTCATATAAATGGAGCATCTTTTTATTTTATATTAATATATTTACATAATGCAGGAAATTTATTTTATTATTCATATAAATTAATAATAGTATGATTTATTGGAATTTTAATTCTTTTAATTTTAATAATAGCTGCTTTAATAGGTTATGTATTACCTTGAGGAAAAATATCTTTTTCAGGAGCAATAGTTATTACTAATTTATTATCAGCAATTACATATATTAGACAATTATTAATTGAATGAATTTGAAGAGGATTTTCAATTTATAATGCAACTTTAAATCGATTACAATTATAAATTTTAATTTCATTGAAATAAAATTAATTATTAATACAATTTATATAATAAATATAATTTCATATTATATTTAATTTTAAATTTAATTTTTGATCTTACAATAATAAGTTCTCCAATAAAATATTTATTATATTCTTTAATTTATTCAATTACCTTATTTTTTTCAATATTTAATTTTAATCCTAATTATTCAATAATTCTTAAATTATTAATGTCTTTAATTGTATATATTTCAGGAATTACAATTATATTTTCTTACTTTATTACTTTAATGAATTTTTTAAAACTAAAATCTAATAAATTAAATTTATTATTAAATATATTCATTTTAATTTATTTATTTATTATAATTTATATAAAAATTATTTAATAAGATATTTTTTTAAATATGAATGTAATAATGAATTATTATTATTATATTTATATTTTTATTATTTTAT